TCAAGAACTACGTTCTCATCCCACCTCTTCCCAGTGATATTCCCTACAACCTCACCAAGCCACAAAGTCACTTCTCCCAGTTCCCCGACCAGATAGCTTTCCTTCAGAGCACCTTTGAAAATTTTGTCAGTCCCTTATTCTAGGGTTACTTTAAAATAGTTGGTTCCATTTTTCATGAGCAATGATGATATCCATAGAGAGGAGGATTCTTCATCGAAGCTGGAGCATATGATGGCGAAATGTTTTCAAATACCCTCTGGCTTGAAAGGGAGAGGAACTGGACGGGACTCCTCGTCGAACCCGACGCCAAAAATTTCGACAGTTTGAAAGGAAAGAAGAGAAAGTCATGGCTGTCCCATTCCTGTCTCAGTCCTATCCCATATCCCCAACAGGTCAGCCTTGACGAAGACCAACACTCCTCCTTTTTACTCTTCTATCGAGGTATTATTTCTTGCGTATGCAGATGTCTTTGAAGGGAGAAGGCGCAGGGGCGGAGATGACGTCCAAGAATCAGACAGACCAAAATGGACAGGAATTGATCTGTTTCCCGTTAGAATCATTCCTCAGCGTCATCGGCCAGTCGAAGATAGATTTCTTCAGCCTTGATATTGAAGGAATGGATTATGAAGTTCTGACTAGCATCCCTTGGGACATTCTCGACATTCAGGTATGGAATTACACCAAATGCGTTATGGAGATAATTTTTGTTTGCTTCTCAAATCATCGTTTTACGTTTTCATACGAAGATCATGATGGTGGAATCTAACAAAGGAACAAGAGAACAGATCCTGAAGTTCATGGCTGAAAAGAACTATCGGCATGCGAAGAAACTAAATATTGACGATGTTTTTGAGAAACCAAGGACATGATACCTAGGTATGAGGATGAAGTGTATCCTGCGATTATTATTTATTCTTACTTCTTCGGAATATTAATGTTATACTATCTTCAGGAGTCCATAATGAAAACTTGTTTTATGTGTATTCGACAGTGTCTCATCAAATAGTATATGGACATTTGGTATTCTTTATTTAAGGAAATAAGTCATGCTTGTTTTGGATCTTTTCCTTTTCCTAAATTTAAGCTGGAAATCCATTGGGATAGAGTTATACCGTGAAATTAATATTACTAAATGGAGTAGAATATCAGGGAAGGCCAATAGTAATGAAATGCATAATTCTGAAGAGGATAAGAATCAGATTTTATTTAGAGGATTGCATCCGGAACTCATAGTTAAAAGGAACCTTGCTTCTTTTTTATTGTGTTGTGTGATTAATAATCTGCAATTATTTTATGAAGCAACAGTGATTCGCAATAAATGCAATTTCTGAAACATTCCTTAGCTTTTGTATTTAAGTTGATGCTATATTTAACACGTTGACGACCAGCCTATTTTTCCTTGTCCGCCGCGTGGGACCACGCGCATTTTTTTTTGTCAAAAAATGCGTCCTGCCATCAGGACGCATGGTCCCAGAAAACATTTTNTTTTTTTTGTCAAAAAATGCGTCCTGCCATCAGGACGCATGGTCCCAGAAAACATTTTTTTTGCCGAGTTTTTTTTAAATGTTGAATTTTTTGGAATTTTTATCAGTAATTACGAAATCATAATCTTCTGGAACGTTCTCAACAGTTCCAGAGGGTATTCATTGAAAATGAAATTTGCATCCTGGCATCAGGACGCATTGTCGCCAACGTGTTAAGTTGTCATGATCCAACACTTGGTACTGTTATGCTCCGTCGTCCCCATGCAGTCACTGTTGGAGTATACGGCCACCTCTAGAGATGATAGTGCCATGGATTTCTTCCTATGTCTGTTGCCTCTTGGAACTCTGTTATTGGAAATGCATTAATCATGTGGAAAATGAGTCTGGAATTAATCCGATTCATTTACCGCGAGATATGCTTTTTTCGCATTGGATGCTAATGTTTTCCTAATTTCGTCTATTCCAGGTTCATGACCTATTCACTATTCCCATTTGAGCATAAAATTCCCCTGTATTTTGCAGAACATGGTGGGGGGGGGGGAAGGGAGCTTCATATTCTCCTCTATACTCCTTCAGCAAGTAAATTTCACCTAAAATGTAAAAGCAGCCGAAGATTACAATATCTAGGACAGATTGTTATATAATATTTTGAGCTTTAGTATGGGCGACTGGGTTACCTCCAACGTTGTCGGTGTGGACATCTAACAAGCGGTTCCGGTCACCTCCGATAATTACATCTGAGCCCTCGTATTTCTCGACCTTCTGGGAAAAGTTTGCAAATAGTTTTGGGTCATGTACGCTTTCTGGACCATAGATGCAGGCCACAGTATATACGATTNCCCCTAAAGTTGTGCATTCAATGTAATGCTGTCGACTCCAGAGAAAGTCTATCAGCTATGTACGTTCCTTCCGTTTTGTTGAAGGCAAGGTGTGCCAGAGAATGGTTTAGGCCTAAGCTTCTGTCTGAGGGTTGGACCTAGGCTTACAAAGTGAGACCCCCTGGAATGAGCCCCCAGGGCACTTACCCCCAAAGTTGGAATTTTTCTGGAGTCAGCAATCTAACAGCTATTCGTGTACCAAGTTTCATCCTATTATCATGTCTAGAACATGGTTAGAATTAGCGTCAGTCAGTCAGTCAGTCAGTCAGTCACCATCGTCTATATATATTAGATAGAAAATATTTACAATAAAAAACAGTGTACTTTCAGTGTCTCAATGATGCGGCATGTTAGTAATGACCGCCTGATAATTGCAAATGTAGTAATGGATTGGGGAGGGTAAAGATTTGAGGTCCATAATCGCTTCCAGTAGGGGGAGCCCGTTGCCCGACATGAGTAAAGTAGAGAGGAAAGGAGAAGAAAAGAAAAGAGACAAAAGTGAGAGAAGAAAAAGGTGTAACAAATAATATTTGACTGTGGTGCGGAAAGTTAGCAGAAAGTTCGACAGCTAGCACTCTACTTTAATCAGATTGGAGGGAGGGAACTCAACACTTTTCAGGGGTACAAATTTCGTTCTGTTGGTCAAGAACTTCAAGGATAATATTAACGCCAAGCAACCGGATCCGGGACATCTTGTCCTTGTCTGCAAGTATCATTTCAAATATTGTTCTCCCTAGACGCATGCATTCCTCTCAGGGGTAGTGGGATATCTTGTTTGATAAAGATCTTGTTCATGGAGTTCTTAATCTGTAGGAGATTCGCCGTAACTAAATCGCTGTACTGCATTTCGAGGAAGCGCACGAAGAATGTGCGCTGAGAAACTTACCTGGAGTCTAAAACTATGGTTGAGTAAATAAGCTGTTAATAGCAAGGAATTGCGTTTAATTCACGGAAGCATCGGGAATTTTGAAGGATTCCCGGAGTTAAGAAGGCACTTCTGAATCTGTGACTTCGTACAAGGCCACAGAAAAAATATTTTTCGTTTCCGGTGATGCATCTCCAGCTGGAAGGGTTTGGATTCTAGGATGGAACTTTTATTTCCAGTTTAGTGACTAAAGCCGGGAGGGTATTTTCCCTCATTTGATCCGCATCATCTGACAAGAATTACAGGGCTCCCTCTAGATTCCTCGTTCTCTTCGATAAGCCACAGGTCTTTGATTTGATGGCACCAATCTCGGTGGGGAGAGAATCCGCACTGTTCGTCGGAGTCACGTTCGAAAAAGTGCATGCATTTTTGGAAGACTGAAGCTTAGCCACACAGGCCGGGGTGGATTCAGTGAAAAGTGGCATATCCCAGAGGCCGATGTACAGGAAATCTTACTTCTGACAATAGGCAGCAAGAAACCTTAAGCTTAAGCTTAAGCTTAGCGCTTAAGGAAAAAAGTATTTTGAAGGAGAAAAGTCTGGACCGTGGAGAGGCTTCGTAGACTGTCTCTCTCAGTGCTACTTCTAAGGTGTCTCATATATCTGAAGCTTGCAGTGGAAATTTATCCAATTTCATCTGTCCGCATATTATCTTGGATATCGATTTGGACTCATATGTGGAATGTGTCATGGAGGGTGGCGAGGGTTGCAACTATATTCTCTCTGATTTTAGTTTGCAAGATGGTTGCAAAATGAAAATAAATGTTAATCATGCATGGCCAAATGCAGACACATCTATAGATATATTCAAATTCTGACATTCAAAGTATCAGAGATGCTAAATCCATCAAATCTATTATTTTAAATATCACATACATACAGTGTAATTCAAATTCCCTCCTTAGTTTAAAACTTTAATTTCTCCGAAGGTGAAAGATTTTCACCCAAAAAATTCGTCGTTCTTCATAGCACTTACGGGAGTTTTGTTTCAATATGACACATTTGAATTTACAACTTTTACAACACCTTCACGTACGTAAAACTATTTCCAATGCACTTAAGCCACCTTTTAAACAACCTCATTCGCAACTTGGGACAATTTCAAGGAAATTCCCTGCGATACTGCCATGATACGTTAATATAAATCTAGTAAAAATGCAAGACTTCATAGATGAAAACAATTTTATTTTATATACCCCACAGGAAAAAATCGATAGGGTTCAGGTCGCGTGACCGCAGAGCCCCGAGAGTTGGTTGCGTCTCCCAATCCATCGGTTATGGAAGCGATGGTTTAAGAGTCGTCGCACGTGCTTGAGTGCGCAAAAACGCGGAGCCACAATCTGTCGAAAGGTGATCCCATCGAGATGAAAGGGCTCTAATTGAATAATAGCAAACACCTTGAACAGTTCATGATGAGTTTCACTATTGAAATTTGTGGGTAGTCTGCCATCACCACTGAAAAAGGGCTCAATGTTTCCTTTGACACAAAAGTACACCAAACATTTAGCTATGGGGTATCACGTTCATGCTCACGAAACAGTCCTACGTTCTCATGTCCAGAAGTTTCTACTAAAAAAAACTATTTTCTACCTTCCGCATGGTTTTGGCATCCAGAACGTTACGAACTCCGAAATACATTCGGAATTCACATCGCATATGAGTCACTCAACCAAAAGCGTCCATTCAAACAGCCATTTTGCACCACGGCAAAACCGAATAGCCTCTTGCCATTCCAAGGCCAGATATTGGAAGCTTGGTATTTCAAGAAAGTTTCCCACCTCTTGACTATCATGTGAGCTGATTTCACCTTAAAATATTCAAAATCTGTGGAAATACGAAGAAAACAAATTGTGGAGGGACTTTTGAATCATACTGCATATCAGTGACATTTCAAATTTTCATGATTGGGTACTCGTAGGATGCTTCCAATCAGAGACATAATAATAATGAAAGGAAACCAATTAGCATTGCATTACGGAATGGGTCTTTATATTTTTATTTCATCCAATACGTAGTAAGCATTAGAATTTATAAGTAAGTGTGATTCTTTCCTTCCCAAGAGCCTGGTCCATAAATACATTGTGCCTCATTGCTAGTCCGCTGTGCCACTTAATGGTGCTCGTGTTCACTCACTTGATGGAATGGAAGACAGTGGAGGCTGGACCAACACAGACCCGAATCCAATGTTCATCAATTCTGGATACGTAAAAGTTAGCATATGACTCCGAGTCAAACCATAGTAATTTCTATCACTGATCAAAACCTAGCCACACCCTTCTAATTAGCTGTGCACTCTCAAAAAGAAGAAGTATGCCGCAGCTCAATAATGAATTAAGTATGCTCCGTGCCTAATCCCTGACACCGCCCAGACCTCCTACAATTAAGTGCCGGTCCTCCACCCGTCCTCCCTTTATGCGAGTTTCATTAAGCATTCCATTACCAAACTCGACACTGTGCTATAGAGTCAAGCGGCATGAGAATGAGAAGTGGTAAGACCGGCACTGTCCCAACATTTCCAGCTGTACCCATACATCAGAATACCTGGATATAGTGAGAAGGTGTAAATTCATTGTGACCCTAAACTGCGTCCTCGGACTGTTTCCCTGGAGTCTGCTTAGATCCCTCTCAGCCAGTTCCCTTCATTTGCTCGAGCCGAAAAAAGGCTGTGGAAAAAATGGGACATTTTATACGTGTGTTTCCTCATTCTGTCTACGCGGGTTTTTGTGTCCCAATACCTCAAGCCTTCCCACATTCGAAGGGCTCCTTGAGTGACAGCGGCTTCGACACAGATGCCGTTACCTTCAGTGTTCTCACGTGCGGCCTATACATCGCCTTGGTTGTTATTTGTGCTTCATGGTGGTCTCGAACCTCTGATTTCGTCTGGCTGTGGATCTACATCCAGGTAAAAGAGCTTCGACAGATGTTCCATTCCTCCGACGAATTTCAAATGTCATGTGCTAGGAAAGGCTGGAGATAACTGACTTGCAGTTCAGTCGAAGACCCTTTTGATGTGATAGGTTAGAAGTGTTATGGTGCAATACATTTTCATAGAACTCATTTTCCCTCTAATGTGTTGACTGAATCTACTCTTGGCATCCACTGCATTTTGTGTAAGTTGGACAGTTGAAAGCTTGATACCAAGAAACTCCATACCTCACCGGGAACGATGTTCCACGCTATTTTAATCATTTGTATTTTCATATTTCTTTAATTTGCATGCTATCTGCATTCTATTAATTACCTTGGATCCGAATGAAAGAAAAGCATTTCCTCCTCGAGCGTTCCCCCCAAAAAAGCCGGATTCTCAGGAACGGCTTAATAATATTCGAAATGTATTCTCCAATGATACCGAGCAAGACTTACTTTGAACCCCTGGACAATAATCACTTCCGCTGATGACTCTGTGGCATCGTCTGATTTTAACGTCATAGAACACTTGGACACATTTATAAAATAATTTTAAAATTCGGAGAATATATGATGGGCTGCCATTGTAAATCTTTCTTACTGCCGTCTGGCTGGAAGACATGTGACAAAAGGCTTGTGCTCTAAATATTGAGTAACAACTTGAAACTGTTTCATTTATTAATAGTTAACGCGTCAAAAAATCCAGAAAAAGGGGTTTCCGGCCTTTCTCCCGTCAGTTTCTCAAGGATTTAGACACGGACTTCGAGCAGACTTTTCTTGTATTCCAGGATCAATGTTCATGGGCATGGATGGACGTGAAGGAATGGAAACGAGATACAATGTGGGTGACAATTCAGACTATCGTCCTGGAGATCTTGGCCATCATGGCGTATTTGCTGATGTTCAGGCTTGTGGTGCCCGTATTTCTTATTTATCAACCACTCATTAATGTTCACCTCCATGGACTCTTGGCATTCTTCGTGATTACGAGCTGTACCTGCACCTACATGGGTTCATTTAGTCTCAGTATCTTTTTCATGCAACTCTTCAATCATGTCCTCGTCGCACTCTCTGAAAATGTTGCCACTTTGCTGCAGAGGAGAGGATGCATTTCCAAATATTATTCTCCTCAGCGAGTTATTACTCCAGGTGAGGCATTATTGATTTGACAATGGAATGAAGCATATTCTGCGCTTCAGTACATTGTATTTCTTGTAAGTGCAATTATTAAAAATTATTTATTTTTCAGATTGCTGTTTTAGCAAAAATAATCCCTCTCAAAATTAAAAAATGTGCATAACAACGCGATGAACTTCGACTGCGAGACATAATGATTAAATTTCTGAAATCTTACCTCTTCCTCGGCACTTTCCCACCGATGGAGGATTATATTCAATCTTTGAATGGCCTGATATTCCTAAGGACACTCGCCTTCCTGAATCACAAATCAGAGGAGAGCGGTTATTTTACACCATTTTAATTAGTCCAATTTTATTGACCTGCTTCGAGATCCTAACTGTCTTGAAAGTGGCTTTTCATCTCTCATAACTCAATGTATTAATGTGACAACCAATTTTCAAAGGTTTTTTTCTTTCTTCAACCTTGACCCAACCCCATCAACCTCAACCTTAACCTTAACCTCACCTCACTCCCCCATCCACCCCATCTCTACGGAATTCACTAACGTTAGGCCGGGCCTAACCAACAGTCTCTCATTGGATCATGCCTAAGCCGACCTATTTTCGTTGAAAAGAAACTACATCCTCGACCTACGGACCAATTAGGCCCATAAGGATTAATCTCAGGTCTTCGAGGCACCTCGTTGACGACGTGTAACGACAGGCCATTCGCAGGCCTATTTAGTCTCTCATGGCCCATTTAACAGAGAACGTGTAATGTTAGACCGAATGCAGATATTTTTCGAGTTTCATGAACCATTTCGGTGCGGTCAGGGAACATTATGCCAATCCTGGACTCGTTCCGAGAATAAAATGCCTTTAGGGCGCATGACATACAAAATGGCCGCAATCATGTTAATTTACGGATGTCCGGAAGAGATATCTTCGTATTCCATCAAAGCCATTGCAAACCACCTTCTCAATGGCAAAATTTGAGGGCGGAACCGGAGCCATCGCTCTGAGCCCAAATTAACGGCATCTAATTTCATTTTTATGGCGTAATGGTGCACTGGAAGCACAAAAATGACATTTTTTTGTCACCAAGTCACTGTCTTTCGTTTGGTGATTCTCTTCCCGCCAAAAACTTCCCTTGAGCGGCTACTCAGGAAGAGAGAAAAAAAAAATACTGAAACGAAATTCACATCTAAAAGCGAGATTCAGTGATCTCAACAACCCTGGGGATATGAAGCTTCAAATTTGCCGGAGGGATTCTGTGTTGAGAGAGGAAGAACAAAGCCAATTTTCGTTTCTGTTGATGCTCTCAGAGAAGAATACGAGACGGTTGAATTTTGCCGCCTGAAGGGGTTGAAGAAAGGTAATGGGCGCTACCATGCCCATTGATTTATAGACCTTTCAAAGTATTTCTTGAAAGTTCTATTGCTTCTGGGTTTCCAAAAAAAAATTTAAAAAAAGCGAGCACTCCTCACAAATTGCTGTGTTTCATTCCATTTTCCTCATCAAAAATGCAACATTTCATACATGAAAAGGTTGCCTGAAGGGTAATGGTAGAAGGGCCGAGAGCCACGTACCAGCACTGATGCTATTGTACACTGTTTTCATTTGGGTTTGTGTTGTATAGTAGTTTTGAAGTTCGCAAGCACTTAGTTTAAGCTAGGGGCCCTTCACAAATTACGTAACGGAAGGCGTGGAAGGGACCAGACAAAGTGTCAGCCTCCCCCCCTTTGCGTTACGTAATTTGTAAACGGCTCCCTATCGGTGGCTTCCTTTTTTTTCAGGTAATGCCAACAGATTGAAGGAAGGTGACGATAGCGAAGAGCTGGAGGCACTACGCTTGAAATTCGAAGCAGTGTCTAACGGCTTTGGACACCTGGAGGCCTTCACATGCTGGTCATTGATGCTCACCACTGCTGTCGACGTCTCTGCATCCATCTCTGCATATTACTTCTCCTTCTCTGCATTGGTTTCGGGTAATTCTTATTGAAACGCAAGCCCATTTGATTATCGAAGATTCAGTGATACCTTCTTCAACTAATTTTTTTGGGGGGGTAATGTTCCTTTCATGGCATTCCAAAAGAAAATCACTTTCCGAAATGAGGGGAAATCTGTACAGTGCCTAAGGATCCCACTGACACGAAATGGCAGAAATTTAATAGATTTGATCAATATGAATCGATCGAGGAGGAACGTCCTTCAAAAACACGCGCATCTTTTCATGTCATGATTCCTTTCTACGCCTGCTAGTTTCTAGGGTACTATTGATATTGAAACCATGATTTTCCGATGTCAAACTGCATTCCATGGATCTTTCAAGGCCGGACGAGCCAGGGAGTATTTGCGGAGAGTGGAGACCTTGAAGCTGAATGCCACTGAAACGAGCCAAGTTTCGCTCTTTCTGGATCACCTGAACGGGAATCCCATTTCACCATCTGCTGCTGGCTTTTGCGACTTCAACCGAAGAATGCTCGTCTCTGTGAATTCCTCATGCAATACTCTCTACATTGTCTGACCCCTGTCTTCTTATTCTTGCACTTAATGAATCGGGCAGGCCCCGAATGCAGTCCTCACCCATCTCATCGTCAATATCCAATTCAGGATTCAACGAAATACTGAAGCTCATCAAGGTTGACGACCAGAGAGGCTTCAAGACTTCGTCCGCTAATTTATTTGCATTCTGCTGCAAAGACGACTCAATGAGCACCCTCACCCCCTCGAGTCACCCTGCATTACCCACAAAGAACCAGTTCATACGGTTGCGATGAATATCAATCGCAATATGCCAATTACTTTAATATTTTGCATCACATTCTTTCGAGGAATATATGAGAAATTGATCGAAAATTGAAGAAAAATTGTATAAGAATATTATTGTTCTCGAAATTTGAATCCGCGACCACGATAACGCATATTTCCAATGAAATGTTTACCTTTGAACATATATCCTTGAGAACTTCCAGCAAAAGAGGCGAGTATACGCAACCTCCAATGCGGACAGTCCTCGCCCTCACTCAGAACCAGCCAGTAAGCGGAGAAGGAAGTGTTGCTGGAAATCCCTTTCGTCGTTTGGCAAGAGGAAGAAATGTTTATTTTATCCTAACTCCATCCAATCTGTTCAAATTATTGCAGCCGTCAGCACCACAGTGATAACACCCAATGGGACGTATCAAAATGCATTTAAAGCTAGTAGCCTGGTGAAGACGGTAGGAACGCGTGCATAAAACTGACACCTTCTGGATTGACCAAGTCTCAAACCGGAGAATACAAGAATGCAGTGACGCGTCTGAAGAAGGAGTAAGAGCTTTTCAGGTCAATATGACAAGCAGATTGAAATAAAGGAATAAAAAAGTCTCTTGCAGATCTGTTCTTGTTTATTTGAAAACGTTCTATCCTTTTCATCAGCTACTCAGGGTTTCCATCCATGTTTTTTTCCTCCCCAAATATCCTTTTTTTCTGCTATTGAAGAAATATAGAACTTTTCTTCTCGTTTATCATGATATTTTATTCCCCAAGGAAATGACTGACACATGTATGCATGGCGTTCAAATTCTAGAGAAAAGAGGAAGAAACCGAAAACTCAATCCACATCATTAAGTACAGTGGAAAAAATTGGTAATAGTGCTTCCTTTCCTAGTATGGGATGAACATGACTCTTGCCTGAGTGTGGGGTGACACATCACGATATTGACCCACAAGACCACGCTTCATGACCGATGGATGGCCCACTGGTATGGCTTAATACCTCCAAGGAACATTGCAGAAGAAACTCCACCAGCTCTTCACCATGCCGCTCCAAGTTAAAGAGTAAGTGAAATGGTATTTCATATTCTCTGTACTAGGAGAAGAGCCAAGTGAAACCCATTTCATGAAATGAGTAGATTAGGAGACGGCACTCCCCGGCTGCATGAGGCTATGGAATGGAAAGGAATGAATGAGGCTATGGAAGGGATTGAGGAAGGTGTGAAAGTCGGGGGGAAGCTGTTGAAGGATATACGGTTTGCAGATGACCAAGGTATGGTGGCGAGCACAGAACAAGGACTTCAGAAGTTGATGGATGGGTTAAACGCGGTGGCCAAGAAGTTTGATATGAAGATCAATGGGAAGAAGACAAAGGTGATGAAGATGTCTAGGAAAGGAGGAGGAATAATTAACATTGTGATAGACGGCCAGAAAGTGGAACAGGTGAAAAAGTTTAAGTACTTATGAGCTTTGATCACAGATGATGGAAAGTGTGAGGTGGAGATCAGAACAAGAATAGGAATGGCAAAGGATGCTTTTAGCAAGAGAAAGGAGTTATTAACAAAGAGGATGAACCAAGAGGTAAAGAAAAAGATAGTGAAGGCAGTGGTGTGGAGTGTGGCTTTATATGGGTCCGAAGCGTGGACTTTGAGGAAGGAAGACATCAGAAGGTTAGAGGCTTTTCAAATGTGGGTATGGAGAAGGATGGAGAGACTAAGAATCGAAGAACAAATGAAGAAGTAATGGAAGTTGTTGGGGAAAAAAGAGGACTAATGAAAATGATTGCGAGAAGAAAGAAGAACTGGATTGGACACATTCTACGCGGAGAAGGATTGTTGAAGGAAGTGATAGAAGGAAGAATGGAAGGGAAAAGACCTAGAGGAAGGAAAAGAATTGGCATGCTGGAGGAACTGAAGGAAAATGTTTGTGAAAATGAAGAGAAAGACGGAGAACAGATTGGAATGGAGAAGATGGATGCCTAGGACCTGCCAATAGGCAGAATACTTAAGAAGAAGAAGACTCCCCGGCATGGACATCAATTGCCTTGAAAGGAACGTGCTCCATCGAACCCAGGGGGATCGATAGGGTAACGGGTTGCATGAAGTTGACGGGGTGTGGAGGGTTGTCCTTCGATGCAGCTCCGGAACAAGGGGTCTAAACCTATGGAGAATCAAAAATGAAACAAGTGGAAATCGTGCCACCTTATTTCTTACATCTGCATGTAAATATGGCACGAAATCACTCGTCTTCAAGCCTATGGTGCAGGTCTCCGTGCTGGGATCGGAATCAATTTGAAGGACGAGGCTTCGCGCACAGCCAAGATGACCATGACCGGCAATAGAACCTTCCTGCGAGCAACTGCAACGTTGGGCAACAAATGCGACAGCCTCAGCAGTCGTAAAGGTCCTATGTAGGGGTCGTGCATATGGAATTCATCGTGCACTCTATCGTTTTGTGACCACATCTACGGAGTGCAGAATAACGAACTGTTCACCGTTTTTCGAGACGGGTAGATACAGCTTTGCGAGAACATATGCAACATATATATACATACGAGTATAGGGAGAGAGAGGGGGAGAGAGAACGAGAGTCATTGGCGAGATCTACTGTAGAAGAGGGCCATTGTATACATGACACGTTGGAAATACTTTAATATTCTCACAAACCTCAGAATGAAACGTCCACTCTTTCTAAAACCGATATGCTAAAAATCATCATTAGCATCAATAGAAAGTTGATCCCGAGAGGAATTCGGAAACCATCCTGGCCCAGAAGATGCATATTCCGAGTAGGACACAGATCCTCGTGAAAATTTTCCTCAGCCTAATCCAATTGCCACGTGAATGAGAAAAAAACGCGTTTGGCATCTGTCCAGGCGAAAAATATTCGATATATAATATATCATACCAACTGCGTGGGCACGCTACAAGTCTGCATCCTTTCCCGAGCCGCAATACCGAGGCACAACGCAGCCAGACGCGAGAGCTCAGTTCAGCGTTGCACCTGGGCTTCCAGCTTTTCTGTTCGAGGATCCCCTGGCACGAGAGGAGGCCTTGCGTCGAGAGGCACGAGGGGAGACCTTTGCGAAGAAAGCGACTCTTCATTCATCTTGTCGACCGGAATTTCATCAATACTCTCCGTGGTTTCTGCAACCTCTTAACGAGTGCGTTTTCCTTCTCCGACAATCGATCGATCGTAATTTTTTATAATCAGCGGGAAGTGTCGTCGCCAACCAGTCCCTATTTTATATATGATACAGAATGGTACGATAGAGTCTGCTATTGTATCTCCCTGCGAAAGCAACTAAAGGGCAAACATTTTTTCATACGAAAGTATGAAAAAATGTTTGAAAAATGAAAAGTTTTTCCACGGATGAGACGAATACCGCCCGCACACAAATTTGTGAATGGAGTTTCTAAGAAGTTTTCCTTTACGTTCGACCCATCGGCGCTGGTCGCAACAGGGCAAAATAATTGAAAGGGGAGGACGGGGCACCATGGGCCAATTTTTTGTCGGCCTGCTACAAGGCATCACTGACCCTCTGCAGCAACGGAAGGCCCCGCGTGTAAAATGGGGCGCCATGGGTCAGTGTCCGGGGTGCGAGGAGAAAATTCGGAACCTTTAATCGGACGATATTATACGATCCGCTATTATTATATAGATTCGTTTCACGTCCAAGAATATCACATCAGCCTGTGCCGAACCCTTCAGAGTCTTCTATTTTCGCTGCATTGGATAGGAAAAAGACTGCTGAGGAAAGCCTGATCTGCATCGGCAATCATCAGGAAACACTCGGCGCACTGAGTTATGGCCCATCGTGCCCAAATAGAGTGATCCATCGTGCCCTAACAGGAGCCACTGAAATTAAACCAATATTTAAACCAGAGTAAGTTAAGACTCAGGGATTCAATTACCGATCTCCCGAAGCCATTTCCAATAAGATTCAATACTACTTATCAAAAGAAACAATTAGCAAAAATCCAGATGTCACTGCCAGCAAAACCGAAAAAGTGTCTTCTACGGAAAAACGTCTACACAATTTGAACTTTGGGTCGGGACTATTCTTTTTTGAATTACACTTTCCTGACACGTCAGCTGGAAGACATGCAGCATACGACACGAAGAGAAACAGTGCTGGGAGAGCTATAAACGGCCTGACCCATGGTACCCCACTCTCCCCTATTTCCTCATAACAACCGTTGTATTAATACGTACCGTAATATCATTCTCACTATACCGAACTGATGGATAAAAACTTTTTCAGGGCAGGACATGAGAACCCACCCGTCCCCGAAGATTCTGCTCGCACTGCTTGCCTCGGCGCTGACCATTCGGTCCGTCGAGGCAGCCGGCCCGAGCCTCCAGGCTTGCCTGCACGCCTGCGCGAGCGGGACGGCGGCCGTGTGGACCTTCTGCAGCTCCATCCAGAGCCTCCCGGTGAAGGCTGCGTGCTGGGAGGTCGGCCAGGGCCGTCCGACCCAGTGCAAAGGATTCTGCTATCGGTACTTTCCATGAAAACTTT